AAATATGAATACAAATTCGTTAACATTGTTTCAAAAAAAAAAAAGTTACCTCCATAAATGTTTTTTCTAAAAAAACAGTTGAAGTAGTCAAAGTGAGCATAGCTCATCGAAGTTTGAATCTCTTCCCAACATGTTTGAACTAAAAAAAGGATCGAGATCGAAGTTATAATCTCTTGATTAGAGATATATGTCAATTACCACTAAATCTTGCTCGCTTTGACAGGATTATAACAACATGTGGGAATGAAAATTTGATCCTTGGTTAGAAATATATGCTTTACCAATTGAGCAATATACCCATGTTCCCATATTTAACAATTTTTATTATCCAGTGATGATGCACTTTAAATATGTGAAATTAATGTGAATGATTTTTTGTTATTCAATGAAAATACCACTATTTTTCAATGTAATTTATCAATTTATAAATTGTACTGTTTACATCATCATAATTTTTTATCGAATTATAAATTTTTTAAGACACATAATTATAATTTATTTTTGTTACTTATCATAAGTTTTTTTGTTTTTTGTTTTTCTGAAATATACTTATTATAAGTTTTAATTCACAAAAGAACCATGATTTTGCCTTTACGGTTTCAGAATTCCGACGTCGGTACAACAACAGTTATCGGGCCGCCAAAGCAATCCTATGGATTTTGGGCCGCCCATCTGTGCTTTCTTGAATCTAAGGTTGACATGTCGGCCCAATATTCAGGCCCATAACACGACATCAAAGAGAAAAGTTCATAATTGGCCTTTTATATTTTCTTGTCATCAAAATCATTCATGCAACCTTTTCATATTTGCAATTATTTAACTAATATTAAATTAAACAAATTGTTAGTCTTAAGATTGTTATATCTTTATTATATTAAAATGTGGGTAGTTGAGAATATTTTATGTGTTTAACGAATTAATCATTTTCATCTTATTAATTGCATCAATTAATTACATTTTTTTATAAAAAGAAAATGAAGTATACACTTTAATAATAGAATAGTTAATTTAGTACAATAATGTTGTTTTATTAATTATAAATTTAATATAAAAATTTTAATTAATTTTAATTAAGTTAATTTGAATAAAACAAAGTAAATAATTATAAAGAAAAGAGAGGCTTATTCCCAAGAAAAGATTTCAAATCTCTCTAACAAACAATGGYTTTACTTGCCCATGTCCATTCCCACCGAGAAAACTCCCAACCAAACGGCCCCTTAAGGTTTATGCTGGTTCACCCCAAATTCGAGACTTTGTCTAGTCTTCTTCAAAAGCAAGTTTTTTATGATATGAAAATCACAGCGAACTTCTCTCACTCTCTACAAAACTCTCACGGTACGACAACAATGGATGCTTAAAATTTCATAGCAAAAAATATCGCTAAACCCATAAGAATTGGGGGTGTCGTCAAAGCCCTACGATCCTCTCTTTCAACGAAACCTCACTAACGCTCACTCATTTTAAAGAAACTCGTCGCAACACAGAGACATTGTTCCCAACGTTACGATGCTACAAATTTATAGTAAAGCCATCATCTTGAGTCTGACTCTAAGGTCCTATCTTCACGCTAGTGTCGCGATACTTTTATGAACTTCTCAATACTGTGGGTTTAAAAACTTGTTTTGACTCCATAATCCAAATGATCTAAATGACTGATCTATTTTATTTGTATAATCCTTAAAATTTTCAAAAAATAGATATTTTTCTGACACGTGATGCACATTGGACAATTCTTGTGGAACTCCTTCACTTACCTTTTTTAGATGGGACATCAAAATGTTTATTTTGATCTTCCTCCATTCAATTTTGCACAGTGTCCTAATCTCGACATTTTACGTTATTTAATTAATTTGGACAACATCACAATCACAACACAATTGTTTTGTTCTTTGAAAACAAAAATTTGTTTTGTTTGATTTAGTTTCGATGTCACTCGTGTTCTAACATTAACGATAAATTTAAACGTACCGCTATTTTTCCGACAACATTTAGGACACCCTATCTGTGGAAGTATATGGCTTTTTTAATGATAAAATTATTCCTCACTTTTGAAAAATATATTCATAGAATAGAATGGTGTTTTAAAAGGGCAAAAAATTTATGGGAATATTTAGGGAAATTTGGCTAAACGTGTTAAAATCTGACTTTATAAATTACTTAATTTTGTCAAATTTAGGTTGAATTTTGAAAAAGGAAAAACAATTGGGTATCTGAAAAAAAAATACTTGAAAGTAAACAATTAAAAAAGAAAACACACAAATTAGTCTCCAATTAATAATGGTTTTGTTTTTAATTTTCTGTTTTTTTTTAACTATGCTTGCTTTATTGCAAATTTTTAGGATGACCTTTCTTAAAATTTTATTTGACTTCTTAGCCTATCAAAAATAAATTAAAAAGAACTTTTTTCTTTTTAACTTTCGAAACTTAGTTCGGATTTTGAAAATATTTTGAACATCACTAATGAGCATAACTTTCACTTTTTAAAAATATTATTATAATTAATATTGTAATATAATCAATAGAGATGAACGATTTGATAGGATTCGACCAAGCATTTACTTAAAATAGATAGTCAAACGTCAGAGATTGGGATGATATTTCATTTATCGAGTCAGACATATTAATTCTACCTTATTATTTTTGGTGTGACTTTTGAATTAATTATGATAAATGATTTCGATTAGCTCACAAGACCTCACCGATTGGTGTACAATGTAATTATCATTCGTAACACACATCATTATAAGTTGTAACTTATCATTGTGTTCTTATAAACAAATGATTTATTTATATTAGTATCATGTTTCATATAATTTTTTTTAGGATGAAATTTAAATTTCTAATCTCAAGGAGTAAGCAAGATTAGTTATGTTCAAACTTGCTATTTTCAATACACTTAAATAAATCCGAATGATACAATTTTGATGATAATATTTATTGTTTTTAAGAAGGAATTTATTTTCATTTAAAGTTGAAACATCAAAGTAGAAAATAGAGTATTTTTATTGTTTTCTCTTTCAAAAGAGAGAAACGTTGGGTCAAATATGTCTTCTGAAAAAAGGGGTTATTTTGGATGGATATTGTTTTAATTAATATAATACTTTTATTAGTTTATTAAAATATCCAGAAAATAACAAAACATACGAATGCCACAAGATTGTCTTTTTCTCGAATTAAATTTGCAATGGTGTTATTATTATTCTTTAATTTATCCTTTTCTAATCAAAGTATTTTATTAATCTTTTTTTTTTTTTTGATAAAGAGGTATTTTATTAATCTTTATTGATTATATTGTGTTAAATACATATCACCCCGTTTCTTTTTATATCAACTTAAATACTTTTGATTCAATAAAAATAAGATTGAAGGGATTATATTCCATCCCAAAATTAGGATAAAAAAGTTAAATTTCATTAAATTAGAATTTAGGTTTTCATCCATGAAAATATATATTTTTTTAACACAACATATTAGGGAGGGRATAAACTCATAAGATTAGAGATATATGACAATTACCGCTTAGGTATGTTCGTTTTGGTAAAAAATATCAATATATTGATGATAATTGACATTCATTAATAATATTTTATGTCAGTKTTAGGAATTTTTTTACACTTTTTAGAATATATTTTTATGATTTATCCAAAGTAGAGTTATAATATATAGAAACAATTACAAGAACTCAYASGAATGGTTACAATCATATGAACCAGCAATTATTTCTCTAAAATTTTGAAATCGTTTCAATTTGAATATAACGTAATGACAATGATTTTACTATTGATAAATTAAATATTCAGATACTCGAATTTATAAAACTATTTAACTTTGACCTATTTTGATTTTTATATTCTTAGAATATCTATTTTAGTCTATATATTTTGCACGTTTAACTTTGGAATTCTTATATTGARCAATCGAAGAGGAAAGTGCATGTTTAGTATAGATAGTAACTATCAATTYATTTAAGCATTTTTAATCATACTTCTATAATTTTAGGATTATTTTATTSATATGTGATATCGGTTTATTCATCTACCTCTCTCTATCGTAACACTTGAGCCTCGTTGTCTTTTCTCTCTCTGTTCAAGTTTGATGTGTTCATCGATCTACCTCACTCGAACTTTGCGAAATTAATCATTTTTATGATAAAACACACTAAATAAATTTTTAAAATTTTTTAAAATTATTTTCAYGGGTATGAAATTTGTGTTAGAATTTTACRAAGTCCATGAATCCACCGTGGATACAAAAAATCAGAATAGACGTTTCAAAGAGTTTAAAAAATGCACCGTAAGCTCAAATTAACATTTCAAAAAAAGTATGGAGAGAAAAAATGTCTCTACGTTTGGGCTTTTACATCATAGCATAGCGCACTGAGTGCCACAATTCGTCAATCCGTAGTGCCGCTGTGGGGCGTCTTCTCCCACCGACCTCCGATTCCATTCCATCAATGGCCGCAACAGAAAAAAAGAACTCATTTCCTTCTCTCTTCATCTGATTCTCTCGCCCGCACTGAATTCCTACATGTCGCACCGCACCCATCTGGGCTCCATCAAAATTCGACGCGTCGTCCCTTTCTAGCGCACCCCTTTTGGCCCTCTGCCCCCATTTTCCCTTTCCCCCACTTTCTTCTCCGCAAAAGGCAAA